TTTAACTCGGCACGTAATTTGCTTGTCTTTACCTCCCTCCCTATTGCACCTCATGACTTTGCTGATTCCTAAACTCTGCATTAACACTACCAGGTGCTAGGAGGGTACTGAATTAAGCATGCCTCTCTTTTACCCTTTCTATCAGGACGGCTTTCGTTCAGCACCCAAGCACGGATGCCAATGATGTGGGTGTCTCGGAGAATGTGTCCAAACTGCGGGAGCTCCAGTTCCAACTGAATCAAGTACGGTTTTCTAGGCGAGCAACAGATTTTATGTCAGTTGTTATTGTTGCATCTATGGATGATCATATTTTTGTAGGGTGAAACCAATTTCACTGCCTTATCTCTATTTAGAGTTGGTTAGCGTGACCCGCATATGGTGGTTAGGCCGTGATTACTGCGTCTAAGCGTGATCTTCCCGTGTGATAATGCTTGAAAGAACTTATTTTGCACTTCTCTTGATGCTTTTCCCCACCAAAGTAATGCATGCTTTTGGTTTCACCAAAAAAAAGTAGTCATGCTCGCAAAATCTTGGTTTGTGCAAAGAGCTTTTCAATGCAAGTGTCATTCCACCCCTTTTCAGGTACTTCTAATGCCTACGTCTATAGCCCTTATTTGCTGATACCAGTAAATTTCTTTCAGGTCTTCGCTTGACTACGTCCTAAGTGTGTCAGTTCATCTTTCATCCAGGTGATGGAGGATAAGCTATCATAAAGTTCACTTCATCCACCTCTTATCATACGGGCAACATAAAACATGTGGGTTCTAGCGGCAATACACAAGATCTCTTTCGTGGATTTACCTCTCTGCTGCAGTCTGCAAACTGGCCTTACAGGCAGGGTGTCGCCTCTTGCCTTAATGCCACGTTTTTGCGGTAAAAATCAAATGTACATTGTCAATGGCTGATTGTCGAAAAATGTTGTAGGCCTGGAGGTTGGTAGAAGGGGGAGCAAAGGTCACACCCGACTTTACTATATTCTGCTTTAGTTGTCTCAAACGTCTATCACCCTTTCTCTCACTCCTTCTCGAAGTATCTGTGCCAATTGCAACGGAGGGGAAGCGTGCACCCTTTTTTTTTTATAAATTCGGAAGTTTTAGTACGAAAAGAAGAAGATGGCGTCTTGACAGTTGTTGTCTCATCACAAACCCCACAACTGATTCATCCACCGCGCAACCGTTCGTGTAATTTTTTTCTCCTCCTCCCCTTTATAGTCACACCACTGTCCACTACTATGTGGACACATATTAAGAAAAGTAATTTACGAATTACATAGAAAATGAATTCCCCGTTGTCCCCGTGTCCGGAGTGTTGGGGCTTTGGGTCGACGTGGGATTTGTGTGAGTGTGTCAATTGGCCTCGTCATTCACACACATCACGTTCATGCGGTATTGCGTCAGCATTTGGGGTCTTTGTTTTTCCAAATAAATAATGCATAAACTCGTAAATGTTTGTGCCTCGGTTTTTTGTGTAAAGGTTCCACGCCTGGAAAGGCATCCAGGTGGTTGCATACGATTGTTACAACGCAGTTGCTTGGATTGCGGAGGAGTGGAGGTGGACATCTTGCCTACTGCACTTACTGCCACCATATTCCCCCACTCAAATTCCCCTTCCCACAGGGAGAGACTTTGCTGTAGATGATGCTTTTTAAAAGCCCCTATCTCTCTAAAACCAAGGCAAAGCGTTTCTATGTCACCCATTTCCTAGCTGCATCTTTTTTGCATGATTGCTCAAGGTCGAGAAAAAAAAAAACACAGCAGTCACGTATTGTCACTTAGGCAGGTGTGTGGATGGGGATCATTAGTTGCCTATTTTCCTCAACTTCTCTCCTCCCCTTCCATTTTATTTTGGGCTATGCAACGTTGGTCACTAACACCACGTAACTCTCAATTTGGAAGTGTAAAAGGTCTCCGTAGTCGTGATACCTCCACCTTACTTGAATCCTAGTCAACATCAAACTGTGTCAGACATATCCACCTTTCAGACCACAAATTCGGTGTGAAATTGACTTCCCAATCTTGGGACCTGAGACCCAATTGGTGGGTAAAGCCAACAACAAGCTTCAATCACATCCACCAGATGTGTAGGCATAAATGGCGATAGGAGAGGGGTGATGAAGTGGTGCGCACCTCCTTATTACATGTTGCGTGGACAAGCGCTTGACTGTTGCAAATTTATTAAGGTGAATAAGTTATGGTGGCAAACAATGTCAAAGCCTTACCGAACTTTTCGCCCAAATGATGCGTTTTTTTTTT